CTCATTTAGTGGCACCTATCAATAAGAAAACATTATTATAAATCAAAAAGATACCTAAAAACTACCAGGAAACACCATTTCCTTCATGTAATATTACAAAAAAGATTTTAACTCTGTATGGAGATTGTTATGAAATAAGTACTGTTATAGTTTCTCAGTGTTCATTATTTAATAATTTGCCAAGTACAGTAATTAAACTCACAAAGATGTATCTAAAATACAGTTGTGTTCTGTACATATGTATTAAACTGAGAAACTTTTAAAGCTGTGATGACTGAAATGCAAGTTCTGACTGGAGTCATAGGTGCACTAATGAAGCAGGACAGCCCACTAAGTGTGTAACAGCAAGAACATGGACTGGTGTCTATGGCTTTGATTAGTTTGTCCCAAAACCAACTGCAAATATCAACAGTTCTTTAATAAAATGTATTAAATACTCTTGTGATTACTGATTCTGTTGATTCTACTGTACTTTAAAATTTACACAGCTAATTTTGGGAGCATATTCAAGTTCATCTCTGTAACTTTCTCTTATCAGAAATTTAGACAGTATTTTGTACTGAAATAAAACAGCTATTCCTGAACAACGTCTAAGGTCCATTTCTGAAATTCTTATTGTCCTCTTATTGGGCAATTGCCCCTTATTTGGGCAAAAATCCTATCAAGGCCTAATATTTGCAACAAACGAACTGGAGAACTAAAATAACTCTGTTTTGAGAGTCAACTTTGAAATGCCATTGTTTTTCTTGCTTGCACATAGTACCAGAAATCATTAAATCGAGAGAATATAACAATTTATTTCTAAACCTAAAATTATTTTTTGTATTTCCTGTTTTCATTTGTAGGAATTAAATGGCCTAACTGCGTATGTCTGAGGAGTTCATGTGCGGACCCTCCCTCCTATCTGATCACTTCAGTGGTCCCTCAGACAAAGCCCCATCACCCAAGTTTTGCTAAAATGAGATCTGGCCCAATCTCAGAATCAAGAAACTGAAATTACTCCACACATCATCATGATCCCAGGAAGGTAAAACCCAATTCTCATTTGCACAGAAGTTAAGGAAGTTCTCTGGATTCATACCATCATCACCCAAACAGGATTTGAACTACAGACTCCAGTCAAAGCAGCCATCAGAGAGACCTCTTACGCTGTCAGTCACAGCTTGCAAATTTAGTTTCGACCTGTATATTCCAATCCCCAACTTCCAAGCATCTGTAAAGTGAGTTATTAAGGTGAGCTATAGTTGAATTTCCATCTATTAAACCTTGGTTTTGTACCACAGCTTTCCTGCCTGCTAGGAACTCGCTGACATCGTAGATACATGCATTCACTCCAGAGAAGGCACCAGCAGCAATACATCGACACCAGCTGGCACATCGGAACTTATTTTTAATAAAGGGATGCTGGCAAAGGAGGAGTGCAGGCACTAAGTCCCACATGAATAGCCACTGGAGATGCAGAACAAACCAAACCCCTCCCTATGTGGATTAAATGCTCCAAAAGCCACATGCGTTTGTAAATGCCTCTTTCTAACGCACAACACCAAAACCAGCGAGGGCGCGTGGCCCCTTCCCTCGCACCTTTTTCCTACGAGAACCAAAGAGAGCCCCACCTGGCAAGGCAATTGTGGTCACAACTGTGGAACTATACTGCAGAAGAGTCCTACAAAGGTGTGCTTTCTGTGTTTTTATCAGGATTTAACAGAGCAACTGTCTCGGGCAATGTCCATCTCCTCCCCGTTTCTAGTTGTATAACTGCATTCCTTACAGCACCACTACAACCGCAATACAAAATAATGAAAATCTCTGCAGAATTAACACAGATGGCTTTCAGGGGAAGGCTGTATTCGGAAATCATTTGAGCACTTCAACTGTCTTAATATTACTTGTTTTGTAGTTTTTGTCCTGGTATGACAAATGTTCGCTGTAGCATTGCAAAAAAATCACTGCAATAAAGACAACAGCAGCAACAGTCCCACCAATCTGTTCAGCACAAACAGCGAGTTCTCTCTATTCTGTTTCCCTTCTGGAATGAAATCAGAGTCTGACCAAGAAGCACGGTACACGCACTGAGAAAACATTAAAACCTTAGTCTTCATTTGAAATACGAGGCTGTACCACCTAAAAACAAATCAGTGGAACGTAATACTTGAAAAATTCTTTTTAGATAATATGTGTACACAGCTCAGCATGTGGATCGATAGGCAACTGATATTCCCACTTACCGACACGAGAGCTACGCAAGGCAGCTTGCCTGTCTTTCCAGAAACCCTTTTTATCAGAAATAAATCACACTTAAATTTTTTTCCACACATGCACACGCAGAAAAATGCTTCAGATAACACTGCACTAAGTGTGTGCTCATTAGTCTGTTTTCCATCCCCCACTCCTGCGGTTTGGTATTTAATTACAGGGTGGAGTGGTCCCCAGGCTACTTATGTTTCTTCCAGTCACAGCCAGAAAATTTCTGCAGGAACTGACATGCAGGAGTGCGATCGCTTCAAGTTATAGCTGGTTCCCGGTCAACAAGGTTAGCTCACTGTTCACTCAAAGTCCCATCGCTGGTTTACTCCAACAGTTTGTGAAAATAGGTTTAAATAAAACAAAACGCATTCTAAACTTCAAAAGATGATAAAGGCCTTAACAGGGCCTAATTTGGCTACTTGCTCTTGTTTTCCCACTCAATTTTCTTTTGCTGATGACTATAAACAAATCTTTATCATTAAGCTGGAAAGAAATGGCAATTTTTTAGACAGGCAGCCCTTGAACATAGGGGAATGTATCCCTATATGCCTGGTTTGAGTCAAGAGGACTTTGAAGCACATCATCTGATACAACCCTATGTATTATTGCAGTTTTAAATGCCACTTCCATTAACAGTGTTAAATTTCTGCAGAAAATTCTACTTTCACCTGAAAAACATTACACCATTTGCAAAATATTATCATTAATGTGTGATTATTTAATAGCTATTACTCCCAAAAGAACTGAGGTAAAAAAAATGAAAGACACTCTGGAGTTTTATGCAGTTTCTTTTTTAACACGGGACTTGCATTTTTAGCCAAAGCAACAAGAACCCATCAGCCTGGAAAACTTGGTCTCTGTGTCAAAAATGTGTGACAGGAAGGTGAAACCATATGAGCTCATCTTGATATCAGTCACAAACCAAACAGCAGCCAAAGACTGCGTTACGTAATTTTCAGCCAGAGGTATCTGAAAACACTCACTAGCCAAGCCCTAGCATGAATTTATAGAAAATACTTATTTACGAATGATCTATTGCCATGCTCCTGTCAGTCAGCAGCTGCTTCCCTGTCCCGTTCTGCTGAGGAAGGTACATGCAGCACAGCAAGATCTCATTCAGGTGACAGACCACGTTAATAAAACACTCCTGATCTGGACCCCGCTCCGTGTCCACCCAGTATTATAAACCCCATACAGTAACATACAGAATGGCGGAAAAAAATTAAACATATTTCCATGCTCTGCTAGAAACTCAGGGTATGACAAGAGGCAAAAATCCAAACTGTGCAGAGTAATACGAAGACTGGGCTCTCCTGTAACCTTTTGCGGATTCCAAAGCCACAAGGGAAATAAATCATTGCAGAATCATGTAAATTATGCATTTATTCGTTGTTCTAAGCAGTAAGCAGTCTCCCTCTTTCCCGAGCCCCCCGCACTGTCGCAGGCCGTTTATCACGGCTGAGCCAGGCGGGCACGGGGCTGGATGTGAACTCGGACGCCGCTCTGCGGAGCGAGGGGCTGAGGAGCAGTGAAGGGTCTCCGGCGGCCCCGGTCATGTAGCCCCCTGGGTGTCCTCGGGCAGGTGCGTCACCAGCCAGTCTTTTATTTCATTAGCAAACACGCTGTCACTGCGTACTAAGGGGTTAACACTGTACGCTCCATTTGCGATGACCCCCACGAAGAGGGCTCCCCCCTGCCCGGCCTGCAGGAGGGCCCCGGTCCTGCCGCGCTCCTCACACCCCCCCGCGCCCCCGAACGTACGGACGGTACAAATGCACCCCCACCCCGCGCTGCCACCCCCGAGCGCGGCGGTTCCGCGGATGAGCGATGCCGTGGTGATGGGAAGAGAGAGAAGCGTTCACAGTGACATGGGCTAAGACACCTTTGTGGTAGGTTAGGTCAGGTTTAGCCCTTTGCAGGCAGGTTCAGTGCAGAGCTGCGGCGTAAATCCCCCCAACTCACTATGCACGGGTGGTATTTCAGATATGGCTCTTAAACCTCGTGGGTCTGTCCTGAGCGCCTGTTCTCAGTCACTTCTCTGTTTAGGGTGTGCTAGGAGCTGGAGCTGTCAGCAGAATGCATTCCTGAGGCCTCTCTAAAGTAAATACGATATTTTTGAATCTTGTCTCATTTTTTGGTGCACTTGGAACAACTTCTGAATGGTGATGTGACCAGAATTTGCTTAAATTCAGTAGCTGCATCTGTAAAGAATAGTGTTGTTCATGTTCCAACTTCAATGTTTTTTACAACAGGAAGCATACGGTGTTTTCGTAACTACACACATACAGATACCACACGTTGGCTCCACGAACACACAACTTTATTTCAGTAACACATTTCTTCTTTTCATTTCTGCCTTATGGACAGACTCCAGGCTATGCTGATGAATGAGAATATACCCTCAGGAATCAGAATCTACATTAGAAGTGTCTTAGGTAAGTAATTTTTTTCTGAATTTACTTATTTCTTGCTCTGACCTTTTATCTTGAGAAGCATGAACTATTCTGAACTTCATTTGTCTTCTCCAGCTTAGAACTTGAACTGGACTCTTGAACAATCTTTGACCCTTGGTCAGTCTTACATTTAATACTGGTGATGCAGATTCTGAGATTCACAGCTTAAGCCTGTACATGGACACGGGATTAGAATCAGCTGGCTCTATGGAACAGATCTTGCTTGTGCATTTCCTGATTTCCTTGCTTTAACAAATATTCCCTGTCATTTATTTTTCCTTACATTTCCTGTTCATGTTTCCATTGGCTAGGCAGATCTCCTCCTTGGTTTGTGGGTTTGGTTGTTTTTTTTTTTCCACATCTGCTGTACTTCTGGTCAGGAAACCCAGTACTCCTGAGACTTGTTTATGCTTCCCTTCCCTAAGAATTTTCCATGCTATCTTTTGTACCATTCTTTTGCTGCTTCCTTACCGGATCACTTGCCAGCGGTTTTACTACCTCAGGCAGCTGAGCTAACGATGGCACCTGCTCCAGAGTTAGGCAGATACCACAGATCTTCTTTTTCCTGCAATTTCCTTGTTTAAAACCTTTGGCTACGAGCTGATTGTGCGTGTGTGTGTATATAGTTATTGTACAGATAATGAACTGGAGTGATTTTCCATGCAGCCTTTACAAGGGCTTTTTTGCTTCCTCCAGGCTCTATACCCCTGAGTGAAAGTGCACCTACATCCTTCCTTCCCAGGTGACGTGCCTCTTCAGGGCAAGGCTCAGGTGAGCTCCTGCACAGTGACATCTCCTCTGCATCAGTCAGACCACTGCCATGTGGCATCTCACGCATAAGAATATACACATCTCTTCTAAACGTAAGTGGTATTTACTGCAGCTACAATTGTCATCTTCAGCAAGATGACACTATTTCAGCTGCACTTTTACTGAATAATACAGTTAGCTGCTATTGTACCACCTGGTGTAGGCTAAAGCATCTTTCCCCACTAATCTGGAAGCAAGTAAAACTGGAAGAAGAAATTCTGATAGTACTGTTGTTGTTATTCTTTGTTTAGAAGATAGTAACTTCCTTCTTTGGATACAAAATAGGATATGACCACCAGCTTTTACAGAAAATGGTTCAGTGTGTTCAAGTCCATGGAAGACAATGACACTTCCATCTCTGTGGGATTGGACTAAGTGATAAAGGAACCAAACCACAAATGTGACCTAGAAAGCTACCTTATCATTACTTCTTCCTTCTAATTACAAGATCATAGATTAGAAAAAATAAGACAATTACATTATTTTACCTCAATTTCATGTGCTGTTCAAACGTTTTTGAATAGTACAGGTTTTTTTGTTCAACTGAAGGATTTATAAACGTACAGTACTGTGAGTATACCCTATTTGTCACACATTTTCTAGCAGCAAATTCAATTTATATTTCAGTGGAAAGCCAAGCAAACGGATCAGAAGAAATAAATGCACTTCCAAATGTGCCCCTAGATAACGAGCATCTAATACCTTGGGAATAAAACCTTGGGGATTCCCTGGAAGAGTCTCAGGGTTTCTGGGAAGTGAATAACGACTGCACAGTGCAGACAAGGAGGAGTGTTCATGGCTCCTGCTCTCTGGGTGGGCACTGTGCAAGGAGACTTCAAGCTGTCGTTAACTACGGCTCGTTGCTTTCATATACTTCTGTGAAGAAGAGCCATATATAAAAAGAAAGCTTCTGTTCCTCCAAAATAAATAATGGAGAACAAAGAATACGATGAAAGAGTAAACATGTTGCATGAAGTTTCACCATACAAAGGTATACGTGTGCATCACACACATTTACACTTCAAAAAACACTGTCACACAAGTTAATTTGTATGAGCACTTGTGGCCACTGGATATTGTTTGATAGACTTTTTATCTGAGGCTCTTCCCGATAGTTCTTTACTAACCTAATTTTCAAGAACTTCTGGAAAGGTATACTTCACTGAATGTATTGTGCTTTTTGACAAAGGGGTCAATGCTTAAGACTGGTTTTTATCTGTGTGCATTCCAGAGCTGTTTGTTTCTCAGGTGGCTGATGGTTTTTAGACTTTGGTTGGCACCTCAGAACTCACGCCAAGACTGTCCTCTGGAGCCAGCTGTGACCGGGTTTATTCAATACAAAGACGGGGTGTGTATTACAGTTTCACCAGAATAGCTGTGTCAGCACACCACCCAGGCCAGCAAAACCTCTGATGTGGACACAGTCTGCTAGCAAAAAAAAAAAAAAGAACTTCTGTCAGCTTAGTTCATGTTGTTTTATAAGCTGATGTAATTTTACTGGCAAGAAAGCTCTGTGAACGTCTACAGTAGACGAGTGCTCAGACATTCATTTCAAAACCAGCTGCAGTAACCAAAAAACCTGCACCGTTGTTTGTGCCTCAGAGGTTCTTCCCTTGGAGCGAAGCCAGCGGCATGGGACCGACCGGCAGCGCTGGCCATGCTCCCCCTGGCTTGCAGCAGGGCCCGGGGAGGAGGCGAGTGTCCTGCGGATGCCTGGAGCCGTGTCAGGAGTGGCCACGCTATGGCTGCTCATGGCAGGTTCTTCACGGGGCTCGGGGTGCCCCCGCCGGGGGGGCCGTGGGACCAAGCACACGGGGACACCGGCATCGGTCGTCTCAGGAGCCCAAACTGCTGATGGGAATGAGGTTTCCTGATGCAGCTGACTTTGCACATCAGTGAATTAGGAAACAAGTTCACATTCGTGGAAATGGTGGTAACATTTAAAGGACAGAACAGCCAGTCTTCAAGACTTAGTTACTCAAGACAGATTTGGAAGATGATTTTTGGCCGAAATCTGTGGGATAAATAAGTCCTAAAATAGTCATGTAAAATAAACTGGGACTTGATCTGCTCTGGTCCTTCAGAATAAAAGTCCAAAATTGCAAAAAGGAAAAAAAAAAAATTGCTTAATACAGTATGATCTTATTGGCAAGAGTTGTTCTGGAATAGTTACATCAGTCTGGCTCCCTGCATGAACACTGCTGACAATACCAGAGCAATTACCCAGCTAACGAGCCTAAGACACACTGGAGTAGCTACAGAGTAAAAAATACTCTGGAGTAGCTCTGCAAACTTTAGCACTTGGGTAGCACAGAACAGTACCAGCACTTTTTCTAGCATAACTGATTTAACTTGCAGAAAGATACATTAAGATAAAGGGGGGTTTTTTTGTTAATAAAAAATGCATGTACATGGAGAGGTTTTCTGATGTAGATTTTGCCAGGAAACCAAACAGTTTAATTACAATCAGATTTGATATTTTGGAAGAGTCTTCCAGTTTGCATTTCCTGTGTCCAATACTGAGGCCATGATTTACTCAGCAGGGCAATTTGAAACAGAGCCTAATTACCAACATCCTGCTACTGCTGTTAGTGTAAAACACACCAGATCTCACCTGTGGTAAGGGGGGACGTATGCATATATTATATATATAAAAATAAAAGGGCAGTGTCATGTATTTGTTAACGCATCTTGAAGGGGCTGTTGATTGTACTTGCAGCTCAGTGCTGTGGGTTTCACCGTTCCCCTCTGCAGAAGACCTGTGCAACTCGTTCTGTGTGCTTCTGACTGGCAGGATCCTCCGTTTCCCCAAGCGAGTACAAGTAGGGCTCACAACCAGCAGTCCCCATGTGCATTGTATGTTTGCTTTTGGCCTGATGTCATCCTCAATGCCAAGTTTTAACCGCTGTGTGAGAAGGAGCCGGGATGAGAGGCAGGTTGTTGTTCAAGGAACTTGACCAATCTAAAACCAATCATTTAAGATGTGGCCCTGCCCTTGAGCATGCTGCTGACAGCAAAAGCAGCCAGTGAAGCAGAAGTACTTCTCCTCTTCCACGTCCCTTTTTGTTTAGCTGCACCAGGAAGGGCCTGAGAGTGGGTGCCAGCATGTGGACCAAGGGGACAGAAACAGGCAAATGTGTCTCCATCCATCAGCTGAGACACCATGAGGTGAAGCTGTAGCCTGACAGAGAGAAAAACACGTTTTTTTTCTATGCTGATACCTGCGAAGAGTGGAAGACACATTATTGCTTTCCTTCTTGTTTTGGTTTCATGAGGAAGATTTGAAATATTGGACCTGGTGCAGCAAGGTATTAAAAAATTTAAAGGTGTGATTACAGAACTTACTCAAAAAGGATGAAACAGAAAACTTTGTGTGGTAAAAAGAACTGCATAGAAGTACTCAAAAGGCATGCTCCTGTTCAGGGGCTTTGTTGACTGGTATCTTGCCTTCTTGAGAATTACTGACTGCATCCACAAGACTGTATGCTAGACTGCTCTGGGATGCGAGCTTCCACATCCCTAAACTAGACGCGGCTGATTCCCTCAATATTCACATCATGCCAAAAAGCCAAGATCACTGAAGAAAGTATTTTTTAAAAGTGCCACAACCCCTAATCATCACAAAATCAAGACAGATGACAAAGTCTCATCTTTTTTATGAAACAAGGTTCCTCAAAAGATCCCAGGGTATCTCTGCTGGGGCTTGAACTCTTGGTTCCCGAAGCACTGCCTGTGGCACTCCAGATGTACCTGAACAGTTCCGGCTGCTCGCAGCCATCCCAGGCCTGCTCAGGGGAATCCCGCAGGGGCTGGTTCCTGCAGCTCCCGCCTCAGCAGACCAGCCCCCTGTGGTCACACCTCCCACCTCAGGCCTTGACTCTGTCAGCAAAAGCCAAACCTGCAATCCCCAGCAAGAACAAAAGCATTTGGGAAACGTGAATTCTTCATCTGGAAGTCAGAAGATACGTTTGGATGCAGAAAAGCATAAACACTGGTGATTTCAAAGGCCACCCATGTCAAGTTACTGATTCCTGAAATTCAGAACAAAAATGTTTACAACAGGTTTTGTCTCAGTAATAGTTTAAGTACCAACTCAGGGATTTCTCTAAAATTGGGGCTTACTTTGGGCTTCTGCTGAAGGCAAACCTAACAGGACAGAAATTTCTCTGTTATCTTCTGGCAGATCTATGAACTCGGAATGTGTGAAGGGCTTGGCCCAGGAGCTTCCCGACTCCCAGTTCTGAGGTTTGAAGTGTCCGTTCGGAGCAGTAGGAACACTACTCTGAACGCTCTCATACGTCCCAGCACACTGTGGAGTAGCAGATTCCACAGAGTAATGCTCAGTTTTAATCTAAAGTTTTCCTTTTGCCAAAAAAACACCCCTTTGGCAGAGCAACAGATAGGGAAAGGAAAAGAGTAAGATCAGTAGAAGGCTCTTACATATTTAATGAAGGGGAAAAATATTTATCGCGTTTTGCAGCCTATTTGGTCGCTGGGCTTGTGTCAGGCCGAGTATGGTCTTTGCTTTGGGGCAGTCGGGCTGTAGCTATCCCGAGGGGTATTCCCGTCGCAGCTGCATGGACCGACGGACTGCCCGTCCTTCTGCATTCAGAGCGCTGTGTCACAACGACTCTACAACAAGCAAGTCATAAAAGCTGATGATCATGGTAATTCCTAAAATGTATCTTAAAATTCTGTCACACAAACGTTACCGTAAAAGCAGGCAGAGGAACCAGACTGGCTTTGGAGCCCCAGGAAGGAGGCGTTTCGTAGTGCAGCGCTGGGCGCACGCCAGCAGCTCTGCAATGGTCAGAGTCCCTGGGTCTGCTCCGCAAGACGAAGAGGAAAAAAAATTGTTAGCTAGATGTTTTGGCTTACTCAGTCACAGTAAAAACTGCACTCTTAGGCATGTAAAGGCAGTCTGCTCTCTACTGCATCTTCAGCAGGACTACCAGTCATGTTAAAACCTGCCACACTGCAAATAAATCAAAACCCAGAACCCTAAATGAAACAACAGTGTTTTCTATTGATGCAAATAACCTGATAGGTGAGGGAAATTTCAGATTTCAAGATACAACTGCAGTAATGAAACTGCCACAATTTATGCTTATCTTGAAAACAAAGCAAGAATGTTTAAAAAAAGAGATGGTGCTGTAATGTACCTGACCCTGACCACAGAGCCAAGCAGAGTGACAGGAGACTTCCTTCCCTTTATTTAGGTAAGAAACAAGTGGAGCTTTACTGCTGGAGCTTTGCCAGGTTGTTCCTAATCTCAGACTTCCTCTCCTACACACTATCTATTGTTAATATTACAAAGTCACGGCATAGGAAATGGGTATTCTTACAAAAACTGGAACTGAAACAATCACCATTCATACCTTTGAGTCCATACATGGACACATTTCATAAACAGCATGAAACTTAAACCAGGTCTAATACATTTAATGTTCAATCCAAAATACAACGTGAAGACAAAAATCTTAATTCAGTGAGTTTTCTGTTAAATAACTGTGAGCCTAACACAAAGTTCAGATACTGATTTTATTAATGTATGTGTATATCTAAACTAACTCCATAGTTGTTTAAATTAAAACAGTTTTCAAGGAACATCTGATTAATCAGTTAAAAGGTGAAAAATTATTTAAGTCTACTACCTTAAAAGCTTGCAAGAAAGTGTGGCAGGGACAAGCAGAAGTACAAGAAAATAAAGCTCACAGAACAGTGTAAATAGGCTTCAGAGATGAGGAATTGCTTAAAAATTGGGTCAGAAACAAACAACAGATTTTACAAAAGGGACAGTGATCATGCAGAGTTCATTCAAAAGTATCTAAAAAGAAAAACAGGAGGGAGAAAAGCTCTTGAGTTTGCTCAGTGCTTAAAAGAATCTAAACATTTTACACCAAACAACTTACACCCTCCCAAGTTTTAAGAATTGGGTTATGTTCTTTGCGAAGTGGCTTAGCAATTTAATTAGCAGATTCAAGAAACAATGTTTTACAGTGGTTCAAAACTGGAAGCTTTATTGTTTTCAGTTTAAAATTGATCTCAAAATTGGAAAATATATGGTGAAATACATTCCAAGCTGTCTTGAGACTATGAACAATTCTTATCGGAAGACAAACACTAATTGTAGAGTGAAACTTCTCCTTTGGAGATTATAAACAACAAACTTTCTGCCCTCTGCTGTTTGGACCAGGAAAAAATAAACCACAACACAAATCTGTTGAGAAGCACATAGCTAAGGGCTGAGCCTAACTCTGCTTTTAAGAAAAGAATATAGTTTACACTTAAACTAGCTGGATTTTCAGTTGTTCTGAGCAGTTAGGCTCTGCACGGGCACGAAGTTGGCCCAAATTCAGCTGCTGATCAAAAATGTGCCAGGAAGCCATTCAGGAGTTGGTTACCTCATAAAACCAAGTTACTGGAGATACAGAGGAAGGGCAGTTCTGCAAAACTAAGCTAATCTGGTAGAAAAACAAGAGAGAAGATCTACCCTGAGGGTAACAGATCGTGTTCTGTGCTTAGATTTCTACAGATGAATGAGGAGTACACAGAACTTCCTCAGAGATTATTCAGAATTTGACGACAGTAAATTGCTTAAAGATTAAAATGCTGCACTGCCTACAAACCAAATTTGATTAATCACTTTGAAAAAAAAGCTTAACTTTTTAAGAGGCAAGTTGAAAGTCACTTTTTTCTGTTATAAAGTGAACAATCAGTTCTCCAGACTTGCAGAAATATAGTAAGAGAAATGGCCTCGAATTTTTAAGTTTGCTTTTAGTGGCTAGATACCAGACCAAATTTTTAAAAGCCTATTAAAAATAAAATGGGTTAAAAGTAGCAGTGTTCTGTTTTGGGTTTTTTAATATTTTGTGAATAATGGTTTGTGCTCTCCATGTCTTGTTCAAGGGTTCCTACAAAGCAATTGCAAATTCATTAAACAAGTTATATTAAATACAGCTTTACCAGTCACCTTCAATTTGGCACAGAGGTTACACGAGACCTGACAAACCCGATCCCTGAGCGGGTGATTAACCACTGCCTGTGGATCAGTGCAGTAGATGCTGTTTCACTCTCAGCACCAGGGGCCCCGCAAACAGCAGCTCCACGAGCATCCAGCTCCGGCTCCAGCGCTTTCACACGGTTGGATGTGATTGCCGCAGCCAACCCCGCGGCCCCCAGAGGCCAGGCTGCCTCCCCAGCACACGCAGAGGAGGGCTCAGCACCAACGCGCTGAGGGACCTGCCTCCCGCCTTGCAGGATCTGCTCACGGGTCGCTGTCAGAGTTTGGGCTTCTCCGAATTTCACCAGCTTCACCATTTAACCTTGACCATCCTCAGCTCAGGTCACTTCTTGTTAGAGGAAACAAGACCATTCAGTGGCGTAGTTTTACTTGCATGCTACTGCAATAACCTTCAAAAAAAGGTAATAGGGAGCTTCCTGCCGGCACTCCGCACTCACAAAACGTGCTCTGAACTGTCTGTTCTGCTGACAATCACTGAGGAGAGGCCCCCCTTCATGACACCACACATCTAAACCGCCAGCGTCTACCACGAGGGCAGCTAGTTTTCTTTTTTAAAAAATTTAAGGGGCAGCAAGGTAAATATGTTCAGATCCACAGGGTGATTGTGAGAGGAGACATGAAAAGCTTCCAGGACTTGTATCTGAACTTCTACTTTGCTGCCATGAGTTCTGGACTCGGGCTGCAGCAAGCAGAGGGAACAGAGAGAAAACACGGGCCTGCAAACAGGTCATTCCCGTATTTCACCTGAAAACACAGGCCAAAGTCATAACAAAATACTGATCAGAAATCCCAAGTAGTAATGTTTGATCACATTTAATTACTGTATGTGAAGGAAGTTCTATGAAAAAGGTCACCACAGATGGATGGTAAATAAAACACATTACAGATTTATATATGGGAGAGGAAATTCAGCTCGCTCACACCATCACCACACGGTGTAAGGCAATTAAGAATAAGCAACTCCGTATTCTTAGTATGTGGTAGTGTTATTGATTAAAGCACTTCTGCCATGCAGGTTTCATTTGAAATAGGACTCTCAAAGGTACAAAAATTAAACAGTAAGGAAATAATGCATTTGGGAATGGAGGAACCCAATTAGTAGAAAAATTTATGGTGTTGCTATGCCAGTACACATACTGTTATTGCCAGAATCTGTACATGAAGGTTCTCTCTTGCCTATTTGTCCTCTCTAATACGCTTTAAGGGCTTTATGATGCACCCTCACTACTGACAGTGAAGCATTAATTAGTAAAACTATCTGTGGGAACACAACAGAAGATGGGCAAGGAGGATTGTAAACACGCTCGAGTGACTCGCAGCTAGGGTGTCAAAAAACACATCTATCACACAAATTGCTGTTTGGCCTTGTGTGCTCGACAAGTAGAGCCTCTGCGTTTAGGTAACACCAGCCTGGGAGAGACTTGGGGGCACCTGGTGGAACATCCCTGAGATTTCTGCCCTGCTGGGGGAGGGATCAAAGCGCCATGGAAAACTTCACCCGTGAAAATCCCTGGTGGAGGAGGAAAGCAGCGGGTTTGGGATCCTTTTCTCTCCCCTTTCTGGCCAGCAAGGGCCGAGCTCTGCAGAGCCACGTCCCCATCTGCATGCTCTGCCCAGGTGCTGCTGCAGAGACCCCGGGGCACAAGGTAACAAGAATAAATTTACTGTTTGTGTTTCATTGGTGGCTTTGCGGGTGTTCCTGCGTCCTGCCTGAGCCAGCTCACATGCTGAACCTGTCACAAAAGCTACAAAATATTGCATTAGAATACACCTGAAAAGCAACTTTTAATGTAACCTTTGTTAGACATTATTCTTAAATATGGAAAAGCATCATTTCTGTTGTGATATGTGGCTCCTTTCCTGTATGAGCATGCTATCCAATAGGAGAACAAAAACCACTGCATCACATGAAGTTCAGATTTAGAAGTTAACAGGGATCTTGATCTGCCTCCTGACCTGTGGTTTTAATTTGGCAGTTTTTCAGCTCACCTTCACACACCAGCAGGGCACCAACTTACACTTAGGTCACTGGGTTTGCTACGGTAACGGCTCCTGGCAGAAGGCACGAGGCTGGGGTCACAGCCACCTGCATTAAGATGGAGCCATTCCTGTACTCCCCATCCTCAGGGAAGGGTTCATGGGCAGCGTAACCCCCAGGTTCTGAGCTGTCTCAGTCCTGGGGAGAAGGACAGCAGTCCCACACATGCTCCTACACATGCACACATCTAGATGGAAGAAACGTTCCCATAAAGTATCACTGCCACCAGTACAGGTTTTAAAATTTCAAGACAGAAGCAAAACTAAGGGAAAAAAGACTACTTGATAAATGTAAAAATAAGTGTGCAACTTCATATAACATGGACAATACTGAACATGAGAAAGCTCTTCCAGTAGAACTACACTAATTTGGAGCTACAGAAATTCTCAGCACAGCACACGCAACTTGCACGTTTGCAGGCAAAGCAAAATCTGTCTCTCATTGGGCTGGTGCGTGGACTTCAGACACCCAGCCTACAATTACTGGCCCCGGATCCTGGCACAGGACAGCATTTCATCTGATCCAGATGTTTATTTTCCCTCAGAATGCATTTGTGAACGCTGTTATCAGGTGTTTCACAAACCACTCCGGAAGAGGCAAGCCACCAGCCAGTGCTACTTCATGTTGCGCACGATCCTCCGGCAGTGGTTGGTTTTCATCTCCCCCAGTGCCTGCTCCAGCTGCTGGATGAGGTGAAGGAGGGTGGAGGGGTCGGTCTGCAGCACCCGGGCACTCTGATCCTCATTCTGGTTGAGGTGCAGCTTTATAGTCACAGCAGGCTCAATCTGCTGCCTCAGGCTCCTCCGCGCCAGCTGCAGGGGGGAGTTGGGGTGAAGTGGGAACAGGGGAACAGGAGATGGTCATTGACTTCACGTTCATGGGTCATGGTGGGTTGGAGGCTGCGCCTGGAGCACTGTTTAAGAGCCCTTTTCATCCACATTAAAGATATACACGATCCATTACTTAGTTTTACCATTAGACAATACAAATTGTCTTTAATCAATGCCTCCATAGTTTTTTCTGGAAATGAGGTGATAATTGAGACTGAGTATATTTAGTATATGCCAACATTCTTAGAATAACAGAGTGATGAATTCCAGTTTCATAAAGCAACAACTCTGCATCATTACATACCCTGTTCATCTCCTAACTAGCCACCTCTGGAGCATAACAAAATTATGTCAGTGTGAAATACATGAGAAACTGCTGCCTCATTGGTTTCAAATAATATAAATTCATTGTTTAGCAGTTGTTTATGATGTTTGTTCTGGTTTCAGCTGGGACAGAGCTAATTTTCCTTCTTAGTAGCCACAATAGTGCTATGTTTTGGATTCAGTATGGGATTTGGTATGAGAAGAATGTTGATAATACACTGATGTTTTCAGTTGTTGCTGAGAAGTCAAAGACACTCTCCAGCTCCGTGTCCTGCCCGTGTGGCAGGTGCACAAGCAGCTGTGGGGAGCATGGCCAGAGCCCCGGACCCAGAGTGGCCACTGGAATATTCCATATCATGTAACGTCACACTCACTTGCAGATGAGGGGGGTGAGAAGCACATGCTCTCTTTCCAGGATTTCTCTTTTCTGGGATCACTAGCTGGGAACGGGCTGTGCACTGCTTGGCAGGTGGTGAGCAATCGCACTGTGCATTACTCGTTTGTATTTTCTGTCATTATCATCATTACTATTTTATTTCAATTATTAGATTGTTTTTATCTCAACCTACGAGTCTCCTTTCCTTTACCCCTACAACTGTATCTCCCATCCTCAGGGCAAGGGGCAGGTGAGTGAGCAGCTGTGTAATTTTTGGCTGCCAGCTGGGTTTAAACCACAACAATGTTTTTTAAAAAAAAAAAAAAGAGTAAAATACAAAACACTGAACACATAACAGAGGTTACCTGCACATCCAGTCTCCATTCAAGACTGTGGTAGCTGGGAAGCTTTGGTGCCAACTCACTAAGAATGCGCCTGATCTCCTTCCTGTTATCAAGGTACAGCTGGAGCAATAACTTGTTCAATTCATCTGGGAATCCCAGAACGTGAATGGAATCTTGGAAGTCTATCTCAGAAATCTAGAAACAATAATTCAGGCCTTAAAACAGAATTGTGTCATAATCATTATTTGTTGTGAAACAAGTAAAACTGTAAGTAAACATTCCATATGGTACAGTGCAGTTACTCTCCTGCAGGAATGTGTGAGGACAATTCTACAGCCAGGATAAAACATATCACCCGGTTTTAAGTGCCTTCACAAAGAACAAAATGCAGCACAAAAAAAGCATCTGAGCTCTGTCATGAGGAAGCACCTGTTTGCATCACCAGCAGCATGTCATGGAAGCAGCGAAGGAGGCCCTGAGGGACTCGGAGCAGCCTGAGGCTGATGCCCACAGGTCAGCACCTCCATGCTGAGGCAGAGATGCCTGGTTCATCACCCTGGAAGCACTTATTTATCAAACAGTAAACATCACACCCACAAACACATCCTGTGATCAGCTGTACTCTACCATGACAACTCGAGTTATGTCAGTCGAGCCACCTTATATCCAGGGAGCCCTCTGCAGTATTGCAACCCCTTCCCCAGCTGCTCTTCAGAACAATGCCTGCTTCAGTTTGATCTGGAATTGTGCCTGTATCCCTTCTCCACGTCTTCATTGTTCAAATATTCTACTACATAAATAGTAGTAATTCTTTCCAATGGAAACAGTAGTTATCTAACTATTACTCTTTTGATACATGCTTACACCCACCCAAACTTTTGATGTCAGGAGCTGGATTAGCTCTCAAGTCTACCACATCCGACAAACATAGGGAACACCTGGCAGGGGGTTAGTACAGCACACAGCCTGTACAGCAGCTGAACCACACCACCTTCCCTCAAATTCTGTTGTTCAGGCAGAGCTTAATCCTGAAGGATGCTTCCCTATACGGATTGAATTACTGCATGTTCTTGCTGTGCACTGTTAAAACATTGCCAGGTTCTAGCTACAGACACTGAATACAAATTTCAGTCACTCAGATGCAGCGTTTCAGTAAGAGACACCTGAGGTTTTTTTAATTAAAAGAATACATCATCAGAATTTTGAACTAGGTTTTCCCCATCTATCAGCATTTTCAGAGCTAGAAGTGTTTAGCAAGCATCTCTTAAATGCATCCCCAAGTTCCTCACACAAAGGTATCCTTACCATAAGCTTGGAGCTCTCTGTAAGAAGATATGTGAGTCCTTCCACTCCATGCTGAACAACCTCAGGACCTATGTTCAGTTTTCCTTTAAAGGAAGCACAAAGTACCTTTTACCTCCTTATTAAACTGCCACAGCAATAGCACACAAAAAGGCAAATTTTTCTAAAGCCAGCTTGCAAAATATATATAGAAAAGAAACAAAGTAGGTGGTTGTGCACCCTTCAAATAACCTCAAGGACCAAACAGTGGATACATGTTCAAGTTATAACGTCAGGAACCAAACAGGTGCTCCATGACGTTCAAATAATAACGCAAGCGGATCTAACTGGCGGTTTGATCCCGCACTCAAAACAAAACACCCAAACCCATTTCTCACCGCAGGACAGAGGGAAAACCGCGCGCTCACACCCTAGAACCAGGCGGTCTGAGCACGGCGGTACAGAAAGGAGCATGTCGCCGGCTTTGTCTCAGGGAAGGGCCCTGCCGCCACGAGGGAGGGGCGGGGACGCCGCCGAGGCCGAGGCCGAGGCCTCAGGGTCGTGTTCGGGCTCGGGTTCAGGCTTAGTCGAGGCCTCAGGCTCAGGCTTTGGCTCGGGCTCAGCCAAGGCCTCAAACTCAGGCTCAGGCTCGGCCGAGGCCAAGGCCAAGGCCTGAGCAGGCGGTAGCAGTTCCCCGCGCAAGGGACAACAGCATGGTCCCACTGAGGTACATGAGGAGACCGTAACAGAGACAAGCACAGGTGCCAGGCTGCCCCCTCCCCATCTTTACCTCAGCTTGGAGCCCGCCAGCTCCTGTGGAAACTCGTGCGTGGCCTCCACATTCAGCAGCTACCTCCCAGTGTGCAGGAGGGCGGGGGGGCTTGTGCCGGAGGGCGGTCAGAGGCCACACAGAACCCGAGCAGTCTTCAAAACAGGCACTGAATTCTACCAGTGTATGGGAGACAGGGGTTTTTGCCTCCACTAACTTTAGCCCAACTCTGTGTTAAAAAAAAAATAAAACCAACCAAACACACTTGGGAAATGTAACCTAAGCACAAAAATTGAATAGGGTGGGAGCAGAGTGGGGAAAAAAGGAAGGTAGTGAGGTGGGTGTTGGTCTCCTTTCCCCAGTAACATGTGGATGAGAGGAAACATCCTCAAGTTGTGCCAGCAGAGGTTTAGATTGGATATTAGGAAAAACTTTTTCACCTAAAGGGTTGTCAAGCATTGGAACAGGCTGTCCAGGGAAGTGGTGAGTCACCATCCTTGGAGGGATTTAAAAGACTCTTGGGCAATTGGTTTAGTGGTGGACTTTTCAGTGTTAGGTTTACACTTGCACTTGATGATCTTAAAGGTCTTTTCCAACCTAAACAATTCTGTGCTTCTGTGATAATTAGCGTACTTGCCATATTATGATAGTTACCACTTCTGTATTCTTCAGGGGTTGGCAATATCTCAGGAGAACGGTGAGCAAAGGTCCTTTTCCTTCAATGTGTAGTATGCTTTGCTTTAATAATATTTATGGAAAAAAGTCATGCAGCCTTCTTTTAAAGTTCACTTTTATACAGATTAGTGTCTGATTTAAGATTAGATTAGCTATAAGGAAGAAATTCTCCCCTGTGAGGGGGGTGAGGCCTTGGCACAGGCTGCCCAGAGAAGCTGTGGCTGCCCCCTCCCTGGAAGGGTTCAAGGCCAGGTTGGACGGGGCTTTGGGCAACCTGGGCTAGTGGAAGGTGTCCCTGCCCAGGGCAGGGGGTGGCACTGGGTGGGCTTTGAGGTCCCTTCCAGCCCAAAGTGTTCTATGGTTCTATGAGTAATATTTTCCCAAGATCAGGTAGATGTACCAAGTAGAGAATACAAAAATACAGTTTGTAGCTTGGAAATGTTATGGCAGGACTGTCTGTGGAATGCACAGCTCAGATACGTAGGACTCAGCAAATAAAACTATTTAGATTAGTTGATTGGGAACTTCACTGCTTTGAGTGTGAACATGTGCTGGAAGGTCATGGTTGAAATCCAATAACTAGAAACAAAAGTCTGCAGTCCTAATATACCACTAAAAGCTGTTTTAATTTGTGAGAATGGCTAAGAAATTGCATTGCCTTCACGCTGATTCACAATTGCTACCTCTACTTTCTCCTTTAAGATTTTAAGAATTAATGTGATGCTGTCCTCTAGAATCTCCAAAGAACAAATGCTGAAGTATTATGTTTAATCTCTCAGAATCTCTTATATCTGTGCTTGTAATATTGGACTTGTTCCTGGAAAGCACTAGAACTAAGTAAGGAAAGGGTTGGGAATGATTCTGTAATTTATTTTCATATCTTTTCATAGCAGAAGGCCTTGAGATGTATTAATCATCACCAGCACAATTCACAGGCTGGGTGAATGCTTAAAACAGGGTGTGGTGGAGGGGGAATGGAAATAATGGACAAATCTACCAAGATGAGATTATTTCGGGTTGATAGCCTCTCACAGGAACCTCGTGGTGTTAAGGCAGGCCCCACTGTGCTGGCCTTGTGGGAACTTTTACCATATCTATTTCCCAGCCATAAAATTGAAAAAAATTTCCTGTAGATGTAGCTGTGGTAATTTATAAGTCTATAGATTGAAAATAAAGCTCTCCTGGAGCATGCCTGTTGGCAGGTACAGCACTTCAGCCAGGTGTGTGGGACAGCTGGCAGGAGCGCTTGCCTGCCCCTCTCCTGGAGAAGCACAGCATCGCCTGAGGAGGACCCGGACTTCAGTCCGGTAACGAAACGCAGTAAAATATTTTCCCACTCAGATTTTCCAAACACTCTTCTGTTGTACAACAGCCCCTCAGAAGTTCTCCTTCCTGTCCCAAGGGGGAAGGGCTGCGTGCGTAGCTGGGGGGTGAGGCTCCAGGTGCCGCCATCACCTCCCCCAGCGGGACCTGCCCACCTTTTCCCCAGCAGCCGGGGCAGCGTCGCACCGCGGCCCTCTGCCAGGCCCCGTGCTAACGCGGGTTGTTCTGCAGGATGGCTTCGAACGGCGTATTGAAGGTGGGACGGCGGGTTTTGGGGAAGCACGAGGAGCGCGGGCCGCGGCACGGCAGACGAG